AAATATACGTCCCCTCTTTTTCATCCTTAAAGATTTGGTAGTATTCAAGCGTCTGCTCTTTAGGTTGAGTGTTTTTTTCTTTTTTAATCCATTCCAAGTATTGTGTCCTCTTCTCATCCCACGAACCGACGGGTCTTCCTATCTGCCTCTTTTCCAAGATTTTATCCATCCTTTCCTTATCATCTTTCTTCTCCTCTTTAGGTTCAGTGAGTTTCTCCTCAATGGTCTTCAAAGTCTCCATTATGGTTTTGATGTTCTTATTACATCTGTTCAGTTTGTTTGTCAGTTCCGCGAGTTTATCAGTGTTCTCATCCATATCACTCAAATAATGTATATGTATTTATATAGTTATTTATTTAAATATATATATATATTTAGATAGTTATTTGTCAAAACTCTCCCGTCAAAATCTACTCTTTAAAACATTTTTTTAAGCCATATCTTGTATAGATGATTGTTTTTAAATCACTTCTTGGTGTTCCCATCACATCAGCAATCATCCGATTGGTGCTTTCCTTGTCTTTGTCCTCTGGTGTGATTTGTCTGTTCCAACTGAACGAGATGCTGTGAGCTTCACTGTCCAGTTTGATGTCTCCGTTGTCATCTCTGCTGACGTTCATAGTCTTATCGCGTTTTGATATGTTGAAAGAACAAGGATTACAACTACATTTTATCCCCTTCGGGTTGATTTCTATTGTGTTTTGCAATTGTAGTTTTCCGTGACATAAAGGACCGTCAAAGGTGATAAACGTGCTCTTCAGTTTTTGTTCTTCATCCAGTTTTATCATTGTTGGTTCTTCATCCGATAGTTCATAATCTTCCATACTCTTCGAGTAAGGGTGTTTTATTAATCTTTGGATGTGCTTTCTTGCGAGGCATTTATTTTAAATTTTAGATATGTAATTATCAATTTTGATACTTCAAGCGTGTATTTACAACAGTGCTTTATTTTATAGTCTTTGACAACGGGGTATTTATCATCATCAGTAATTCGAGTTTCCATATCATCTATTGCCGTTATGTCAGCGTCGTATTCAGAAAGCGTCATACTATATATGTATTTAGGTTTTTAACTATAATTAGATATTACAATAGCAAAATCTAATTATTGTGCTTTGAGGGGAACACTGTATATGAATTCAACTTGGCAATCGTCAAACACTGGGTGGGGCAAGTCCATCGCAAATCAAACTAATTAGCGACTTATGCGGATTGAAGCGAACTGTCCCTAAATGGTTTCCTTCAATAAGAATATAGACATTATATTTTCAAAATATGTTTAATATCGTTCAATGATAAATATCAAACCCTATAAGCACAAGGAATACAGCAGTAAGCAATCAAAGTATGGATATATGGCACCGCTTCCAGCAAGAATACTGTTGAACGCTCCTTCAGGAACGGGTAAGACAGTAGCACTGACAAATCTGATAATGGACATCTACAAAGACTGTTTTGAAAAGATATACATATTTTCTCCCACCGTCTTTATAGATGACACTTGGACGGTTGTAAAGAAATACATTGAAAACGAGATGGACATTAAACACTCCGATGAAGACCCCATCTACTTTGACAACTTTGAGGAGAAGGACTTAAAGAACATCACAGACACGCAGGAGGGAATAATAAAGTATATGAAGGAGAAGGAATACAAGCACCTATACTACATCTGTATCATCATTGACGACTGGGCGGACAACGAACGAGTGGTAAGAAAAAGCAAGGAACTCATCAAACTCTTCACGAAAGGGAGACATTGGTTCTCAACCTTCATCACTTCACAGTCATACACACAAATATCACCAGTGGTAAGAAAGAATGCTACACAACTCTTCATCTTCAGACTTCGTAATCAAAAAGACTTAGAAGCGATATTGGAGGAGTTGAGTGGATTGTATGACAAGAAGACATTGGATAAGATATATAGGATTGCGACGGATGACCGCCGCGGCTTCCTATATGTTGATTTGATGCAGTCGGACAAGACAAAAATGTTCTACAAAGACCTAAACAAGCAAAGCGTCGTCAATCAAAATTAAACTGATAAGCACGCCCCATAACTTCATTATAAACATATATCAAAATGTATAATATTATATATGACTGAGGATATAGAAACCGAAGAAGCAAAGGAAGAAATCAAAAACTAAGTGGATAAGCAAGAGGGATCACAGAACGAAGAGGCGAAAGAAAAAGAAGAACCAAAAAGAAGAAGAGAAACCTAAACAAGCCCAAGTGATGACCAAGACCGATATGAACAATTTGAAGCAGAAGAACTACTCCGCCAGAAACCAACGCAATGAGTCTTCTGACTGTAATAAGTAAGTATATGTCTAAACATAACTATCGCTATAATCACCTATGTAAGCCACTTCAGGAAAAGAAACAACAAAAAGCGATGTGAAGACTGCCATTGATGCGGAGCAGTTGAAAGCGGACATTATATAATTCGACATCTTTGAAGAACAGCTTGGTAGAATTTGAACCTAAACCTACACATAGAAACTCTGACCACCTCAACAATTATCCCCTTCATTCAATCCAAACAATGAAGTGAAAGTTATGACCCTAAAACACGCATAACAAGACCCCAGAAAAAAGACAAAGGCTCAACGAGGTGATTGATGAACCAAAACTCCCCAGAACCCCCATTTTACAATGTTTTTAAGGGGGGGAAGGGGGGCAACTGCACACTCGAGACACGCCTCACTCACTCATCCCAGGTACTGGAGGCATCAGCACCTTCATTGGCATCTGATCTTCCAGCAGATAGGACCTCGAGCGAACCCATAAAAAAGATGATGTGCGGGTCGAAGCGAACCAAAAACCTTGTATATTTGGGGTGGGTGGCTTTCGCTCAGGGCTCACGCTCACGCCTATGTTTGTTTGGGACGTTCCTTCTAGACTCTAGACTCAATTCTACACTACAAATCTACAAATCTACCAACACAATGACTAACACACAATGTTCTGCACAATCTACCTTCAGAAGCTTCATGTGATTCCCCAACCAATATAACTTCTCAAGCATCATTTATGACTGTGGACTCCATTTGTGATGAAGGTCTTTTCGTGAGCTGGGCTTTACCCCATCCATCAAGTGCGAACGCAGCAGCTCATGTACCTTCTGCTGGGCAAAATCGATGAGGTTAGGGCCTGCGCAGAACAAACCACTGAATTGCATAATACATCAAATGTGTCATGCAAGAATTCATGCAAGGGAAACATCTATATACTGCTGAATGAGCGCAAACAAAAACACACGCGCAACAACCATGGGTGTGGTTGCGAAGAGTAATAACTCTTCCATGGTGAGGAACACAGGAACTCTTCCTTCGGCCTGGGTGGAGGAAAAGAGTTGCGGGAGGTTGTGATCAGTTAATTACTGGTGACCACCGACCAGTTGAGGTCGCAAGCGGCTCCGTTTCCTCCGTTTCGATTCGACCAAGCGATTCCCTACTCGCATCTGCCTTCAGATGTTCCAAAGGATCATGTCAAAGGATCTACAACTAATCAGGCTGCAAACCGCGCCCGAACACCACACTACTTTATCACGTCGAATTCACAAAGAGATCTCTCAAGACGTGGTACATGGCTCATCCAAGGGCCTGTTTCTTTAAGAGAATCCTGTTCATTTTGTTGGTTGGAAGAGCCCGAACCCCCAAATATAGTTATACAAAATCAACTTATATAACTCTAACAAATAACAAACAAAGCCAACCAATACAACAGTTGGCATCTTTTGACCGTGCCTTGGTAGGTCAAAGGTCCAAGGACCGGCTGGAAGACATCTTGTGCCCGTTGAGCTTTCACCCTCAGGGACCGGGGTAACGGCGCTCCGTGGCGCTCCGTGGCGCAAGCGCCACACACCTGGTGGTTGTTGATGAGGAGGTTTCACCACTGGTTTCACCATGTTTTACCGGAACGGGGTCCTCAGGCCACCCTCTTTGAACCATCAGGAGGGGTTGTAATTGCGTGAACAAGGGACAGAGGGAACAAACTCACGGCTGACACGTTTGTTGAAGTGGCATTCATCGAAAACCAGCTCGAGGCTGCTGACTCAAATCAGAACTCACTGGTATGTCCAGGCTACGTGCATTGCATGAAGGTCACAATATGTGGGTCAATGCTACTGGACTAACATTGCAGCAAGCTCCCTGCAAATCCCGGCTTTGACGCAGTATTCCATCAGAACTGAATTGGAACCAGTTGCAACTGCCAAAGAACCGATATGCCAACATACATTGTAGTCCGAAGGAGGTCGTGAGAAACCCAGACTGTCTCCATCTGCAGGCCAGGGTCCATGCAAGGATTGGCCTCAGCACGAAGAAGCAGGAAATGCTGCATAATATTAAGCATATGAAAGCCACTTGAGGATAGCAAGGACGCTACTAGTAGCTCCTGGCCTTACTACTATATAATAGCATTCTTGTTACTATAGCAACAAAGGGCATCGCTACGAACGGAGCGATCCGACGCTACGAACGCTTAGTCATGTCTTATCGTGTCTTCCTCTTTCCAACGGATGAAGCCACGGAGCGGGTCCGGAGGCATCTTCTCTGGGTGAGGCATTTCGGCGCTTGGCGCAGCTTGCCCGTCCGGAGGCAATTGGATCCGTAATTATACGGACCGCGGGATGACGTGGTTTTGCAGGGATGGAGTGTGTGCAAAACAGCAGAAAGTGGGGACGCATTCTACACATAAAAAAAATCATATAAAAGATTATAAAAGTATGTGTGGCTCAGCTTGAAAGGCTTCCACTTCAATGCCCAAGACCTCCCAGCTCTCACTCTCACTGCCAATCCCCAGAAGTCTGCATACTTACTGCATAATATCATGAATCATGAGCAATCATTTGGTTTGTCATTTCCTGTGATACAGCACTTTGGCCGTAAATAAACGAGGGCTGCAGTCGGCCGGCCCTGCGAACTCACGACCAACGACGGGCTCACGGACGACTCGAGGTTCCCCCGGCGGCGATCGGGCGTCAGCGGCACCTTCTGAAGTCCATCCTTGAAGTGGAACCTGCAGGACGAAACAACAAGCTAGTAACTGGTACATCGCTACTAGGAACAAGAAGCTACTACGGGCTCCTGGCCTTACTACTAGGAGCAAGGACGCTACTAGGGGCTCCTGGTGAGCAACAAGTGTGAGTTCAGTTCAAAGGTGATGGGAGAGCATTGCATTTCCATCTTCAGCGACAAACAAACAAACGCCTTCATCCAGAAGGTGGGGGCCTTTCCATGTGCTATGCAGTTGCTTAAGCTCGGTTAGAGAACACTCGGCGTTCCTTCAAACGCCGATCTAGTGACATGTTTCAACAGCAGTGACTAAGGGTAATTACGGCCTAATCTCTTGGAATTCGCCTTCGTCTTCTCAGACAGAAACACATGGATGTCTTCTTCCAGGACGTTGCATGGATGTATACAGCAAAGATGCTGTATCCAACATCGGTGTATTGATCTATGTTTGGTCAGTTACAGTCCTTCTAGGGTCACACTTTTTGGGCGGCCGTTCGAAGCCAAAGCACACAAGCCTCTCAGTTGCACTATTCCTGGGTTCCCAAGCTGCACGCTCTCCACCTTCAGGGAGCTAACTCTCGCGGTGATCCTCGCTGAAGCTTGGTGACTTCGCTTCGGGTACAACACCCGTCCACCCCACCGAACTTGCTGCGCGCGAAATGAGGGCGCCGGTCCAAGAAGTTCCGCATGTTCAGCCCCCCCATTCTCAGAATGGTTTTACATCTGCGTCTGGGGCGATCAATCAATAGTATTCAATAGTCCAATCACAGGACCAAGCACAGGACCCATTAATCAATCCTATTAATCAATCCTATTAATGTGAGAATCCTATTAATCAATCTGTGAGAATCCAATCACAGGACCCACTCCTCGGTCGCAACGAACCGTTTTTTCGCCCGACCGGTGAAAAAGCGCTGTCCTGGTTAGCACTGGCCGCCGTGGCGCCTGATTCGTGGACCGTTGGGAGGAGTTTCTGATTTGGTCATGGCGAGGTTGAGTGGGTGACTCCCCGGAAATTGTGGAAATATGTGGAAACTCTATGAAACTCTCCCAACATGGCTCATGTGATGACCGACATGGACATGGAATTGAAACAAGTTTCTGCAGAAAGAGTGACTGACGCATGTTCGAGCCATCAGCTTCGGTTCTTCCGACTCACCATCGATGAACTTGACCACTGTCCCCTTTTGTGAATTGCGGGGAACAGAAATCAGCATGTGTCTAAGGAATCTCAAACTGGATGGGCCTGACTCTTGTGGCTTGAAAGGTCCAGGTTCTCCCGAACAAAAAGAGATTGAGTTTGTCCCAAATGGTTGGACATCCCTCTCAGCTGAAACCACCAACCAATGCCTTTCCAACTCTGCGCCTGCGTTTCCGGTGGCTGAGGGGCATCCTGCCGTGGACACTTTTGTTGCGGCTTCTTTGTCAAATGTTCATTGATGTTCATTGAAGGGGCCATGATATGGGTGTTTCGTTTACCTTCCTTACGAAAGACCTTCAGCATCAATTAAGGCAGGAAGATTAAGACCGAGTGACTAGCAGTTGTACCAGTGGCCTGTGAAGCAGGCGTCTGCCATCTTCCAGCTGACAGTTTGTCACAGCGTCGGATCCAGGCACAGCGTCGGGCTGGGCACTGCGCCGCCAAGGGGCGAACGAAAGTCATTGCAACACGATGGCCTTGTGGATCCGTTGTAAGCACGATGGCCTTCAGCCTAATAGCAATGGCCTTCAACCAAAGAGCGATGGCCTCCAACCTAAAGCCAATCTTTTTGAGACATCTTGTTCAATCAGACCGTTCAGGGATTGCTTGTGAAGGCTTGAAGACTCTCGGCAGGACCATGACGATGCCACCTTGTTCGCCGGATACCACCTTGTTCGCCCAACTCCTGCTTTAAAAAGAACAGGTCACCCAAGGTACGAACTGGACTCAGACGCAGATTGGTCAAAGATCTGATTGCAAAGGCCCCAAAGGAAACGAAACGACTTGTATTGTGTGACCCATCCTTGACCATGTGTGCTAGCGGATCCTGACCACAAATAGCCAGAAAGTCAAAATAGACTTGACCATGAGGGTGTGCCCCATGACAACTGCTGGCTGGCCAGATTGACCAAGAGGCCTCCTTAACCCAACACTCCCAGTGGCCCAACCTGAAAAACTTGGTGAAGCGTGATGCCCAGTGTTGCCTTCACCTGCACATGAGTGTGGCGGAGTATCATCTTGTTGAACTGCCGATTTGAACCGGTCATTGACTCAATACAGATACTCTACCGTTGGTATTCACGGTGGATCCAGCCTCCCAAGAGCGTATATGGTACAGTAGCCTTATGGGGAAGTGGGACAATTTGCACGAAAAGCTTACGAACCCATGTAAGCATTGTCAGATGCATCATATTACTACTCTGCACGATGGCAGTCCTTTTTGTGCGTTTGATCTGTGGCAATCTTCTCTGGTATGGTGATCTCCCCTACCATGGGGCTTTCCACCACGAACACCCCTCTTCCTTGACATGGATTTGCTGGGGAGCGATTCACACATCCAACAGAAGCGGGTGCATGCGGGTGCGCTTCCCATACAGAAAACCTATGAAAAGCTGAAAAGCTCTTTGTTTTTAGTTTTTGAAGTCAAACAAACCTCCGGAGAGAGAGTTTTCTCAAGTCCAAGTCGGAGTCTCTCCTCAGCGGCCAGACTGTTCTGCCAGTCGGGGTCTCTCATTGGGCTCCCGGCCAGCACCGACATGTGTCTGGAGAGCCCATTCAGAATCTCCGAGCGGGACTCAGCGCGGGAAGCGGGCCGAAGGCCCATCGGCGCTTCCGTCAGTCACGTCGGACGAGCTCCGATGCTTTTGCGTTGGGCAGAGAGCAGCCTTTGTCAGCAGCGAAATGAAACATGTCCCGCCACTCCGAGGTTGGCTGGATGATGATGATTTGTGGGATGTAGATTCCATGTGGTTCCAAACATCCACTTTTCCGACCAAGAAAAATGGCCCAGACCCGCCCTGTCTCGCTGGGATGTTCTCCACTTGGGCGCCCGGCACAACCGAAGCTTTCCGCCACCGTCACAGCGTCCCAGAAGAGGGCCGAAGCGGGGCGACGCTCCTCCGGGATCGTGACATACAGTGAGCTACGGAGCTACGGGGCAGCGCACGTGGTGCGGATGAATGTAATGAAGGAACATCCACACCTACCACGCATTTATCGCATGGCTTTCCCGTCCTGTGTTCTTGTTCAAATCTCCTAGTTTTTGTTGGATGCACTTCGCACAAGCCTTTCACTCCATGGCAGTCTCTCGCGTCAAACACTAGAAATCCGCCTCTTCTTCCAGCTGCATGGCATACCTCTCAGTGCGGCTCGAGAGGTTGACATCGGGAATCCAAGATGATCGCAGTACTACGTCTTGTTTGCCAAATAGGTCCCGTCCACTCACTTTTCAGCTCATCGACATTCTCCTGCCTCTCCAGAAAGGCCAAAACACGCTCAACTTCTGCAATGGCGCTTCCTGAGTCCACCGCGCGACGCTGCTCCCCAAGTGTCATCGTCAGCTCTGAACTCTGGACGCCATGAAGAACCGTGACAAAACTTGCAACGAAGAAGAAACCATGTATTTATATATATATATATATATGCTATATAATATACAGTACCCTGAATGTCCCCAAGGCATCAAAAATGGCATTCGCATCCGCTTCAGCGCTCAACATCGAGTTCGCTCTTGGGAAAAAGTCCCATTCTGATCTTCCAGGTTGTCCACACTGTGACGAGGCCCAGGTGTTGGCGTGAGGTTTGTCACATCACTCGAATCGCTCGTGAACTCCCAGCACTAGCAGTGGACATCTATGTTCTGATAATCCGGGTGCGAATCTTGTTCCAAGCTTTGAGGGATTCACCCTGAAAGCAATGCTGAGAGCCGATCTCCGCATTTGAATGCGCGTGCAGTCCTTGGACACCGTGGGTGGCTATGGTCATTGATCAGTGGAGTACTTCTCAGCAAGAGTGGATGAAGGAAGGGCAAGAATCAATCAGCAAAAGCCAGCGGAACTTGATCAATCAAGGTGTTCTTTTCAGATCACCAGTATCACAGGGCCCCCCGGCGGCTGAATCTGCCACCACAGCCTCATGGAAGAGCCAAACAAAAAGCAGCGCCATCCCCATATGTGGAGAGAAAACCCAATTTGAGATAGACACCCACAACTGGGTTCTGCTACTCGTAAAGGGAGGGTGCAACTTGCATGTTCAAGCGTCGCAGCGTCTCGCAGCAAACACGTTGGACACCCGCCCCAAGAGGCATCAGAATCCTAAAGATGTAGGCAACTATCCTACTATTCATGGAAAAGATCCTACAAATTCAAAAATCAGCTTTCGTCCATGGGGAACGGAGACTAATAAGAACCTTTATCCTATTCCTCTTCTGGAACCACGACCCCGATACCTGGCCAATGATTGGAGGACAAAGCATTGAGGCTGAGGTTCCCTGATTTTTTCTCTCTTAATTATATATCAGTGAACCAACTTTTCAGAAAGCATCAGAAAGCCATGAACTTTCCCCGTCATCCCCACCCGCCGCCCACTCCCCTTCACCAGTCTTCGGGCCTCAGCCAAGTGGACGGTGCTCCCGTTGATGCCGCACTTCGCCAGAGCTTCTTGCAGCTCCTCCCGCGGGCGACTGAGATGGATGCTGGAAGAGCGCCAAGGAGCTGAAGAGACGTTGATCATGGCCCCATTGGGGAGACCTCCCAGTTCGACCCCCCTGAGGAAGGAGAAAAGACCAGTGTGCCCATCATTGGTTGATGCCCACCAAAGAGTTCCAGGTTGAGCCAAGTTCCGGATTTGCCATCCACACGCGGCCTCTTCCCTGATTTGGCACTTTGCAAGACAAACCCAAGAAAAATCCCCAACAGTCGGGCATGAATTCGCCTCTTTGGCAATGACCACATCGAAAGTTCACTGACAAGCGCTGTGTCTTTGCCAAACAATGCTGCTTTGCGGTATAGTTCTTTTTGCGTCTGGCCACGGTGAGTTCATCCAAACAGTCCGCCCGCGGGAAATTCGCTTCGTTGGCACGCGGCTCCATGTCAACCAAGCGAACCAAACACAGGAACCAATATACGGCTGTTTGAATTGAAAGACTGTGATGCTTTGACGGACAAGAGGGTGGGCTTGCATGTTGCGTAGTTGCGAACGCTGACTGCTTGTGGCCTACTCAACATTGGAAGGACAAACCACCCGACCACCCTCCCCTGATTGGTTTTGAAAGTAATTGAGGGTGGTCTTACCCACCTGCCAGAGATTACACCAATCTGAGGGTATGACAGTGTCTCGATTAATGCAGCCCAAAAATTAATTCTATTGTAACATCGGCCAGGTTGACCATTGTTGGCCACAAGACAAAACAAACATAGCACCAATCTGCAACATGCGCCTTTTCCTGCGGAGCCTGTCGCTCTCTCTCTCTCTCTCTCTCTCTCTCTCTCTGCTCTCTCTGGCATCTTCCATAGGGTTGCAAGTTCCCCAACTCTTTGGGGGGAGAGCATAATCTCTAATCAGTCTGAAGTGTGGAGCAGCAAAGAAAATATGTCTTGAACAAGAATATAAAGTGCACGGATGTGCACGTAATATACCGTGTATCTATATATATACACTACGCACTTGTCATTCTTGGCATTCTGCACATTCCAAATCAGTCCAACGCAGTCCACATCAGATCAGTTCACCCAAGATCTATCAAGATCTTCGGCTGGGGCCAATCCCAAACGCCGCCAAGAAACAAACCCCTACGATCCTACGACCCTCAACACAGTCGGCCTCTCTCGGGGCCACCTAGACTGGAGATGGCTGCATTTGAAATCCTACGCAGACACACCCGTTTTCAGCTTCAAAGACGGAGCATGGAGCGGGTGGAGCGGATGGAGCGGGTGGAGATGGAGCAGGCGGAGCAGGTGGAGCGGGTGGAACGGGTGGAGCGGCTGGGGCGGGTGGTGCGGCCGGAGCGGAAGGCGACGATCCCTCTTGCAGTGTAAATTTGTATCCAAAGTCCTGCGCGATCCAAAAAACATGGTCCATAAATATATATATATAGTCGTATCCAAAGCCCTGCGTATTCGCAAAGACCTGGTCAAGCTGTACAGTATCCAAAGTTTTGGGCGCTCCCAAAACCTGGTTTATTCATAACCCAAAGTCCTGGGCAAGAGACCTGGTATCTTAGGCTACCAAGTCACTAAGTGCTGCACCGCCCTGCCTGCCCAGCCCACTCCACCCTAAGAGTTCCAAGTCCGTCCTTAGTCCATCCTGAATATCATCGAGAGAGGTTCTATGTGCACGCGTTTGGTTCTAAGTATAAATCCTACCGGCTCGAAAAAAAATAAATTCTGAGTTAAAGTCTGTTCCAGATTGTCTTCTTCACTTACGATGAATAAATCAAAGGTGGCTGACCTGTCAACCACATGCACACCAAGAAATTATTTGGGGGCGCCCCCCCGCCACCTCAAAAATTAGTCATGACCCACCCACTACCCACCCATTCCAATCAACAAAAACAATTGACAAAACTGAGAAAGACACCCATCCTCAATTTATAAAATTACCATAAGGTTGCGGGCATACCCAGACACAGAGCCACGATTGCCCGCGCATTACCCAGTGCTTCCATGCGCATGTCAAGTTGACATCTGAAGTTGTGGATGTGGCAGAGTGTTCAAGAAGTTTGACAATCCTAGTGTCTTTCCTTCGAATTTGGCCACATCCTCCTCCAACTTTTTGAATAGTGCCAAATCAATGACTGGCAGCTCACACATACTCCTCTCATCCTAAACATGCGAAGGCACGTGCTTTCAAGGGCCACAGCCCGGGGCGGCCAGGGACTGCCACGCACACACGCGCGGCCAACTGCCAAGAGCCCTGGCGCCAACGCAATCCCTCAGAAGAACAAGTTGCTTTCACGGCAACATCAAATTCTTGGAGCGTGGAGCTGAAATTCAGCAGGAGATGAAGGTAGAGCCCGCCTTCCACACTGCTCCGCACCGTCCTTGGCCAGGAAAGCCACTTGCAACCAGCACCTGCTCAGCCTGATGCAAGGATGAGGAGAACAGGGCGGGCGGGCACCAAAACTGACGGGCGCGGCAACGCCACGCCAAGCCAACAGCTAAAAAGCGGAAGGAGGTTGAGGACAGCGTGGCAGCCTGACGGAATGACAACATGTCAGCATGATGACATGTCAGCACTACATCATGACAATGTCAACACAATATCATATCTGCAAGCTGCTGGGAGGCTTGGACCGGAACTCCGGGATGTGTGCAGACCTTGCCCCGAAAACTGGTTCGGAAGCTCCGGAACTTCCTCCAGAACCTCCTGGGTCCCGGAACGCTCCAGACCTTGGTCTTGACAACCTGCTCCGTGCTCCGGATCCTGCTCTGGAACCTGCTCTGGAACTTGCTTCGGAACCTGCTTCGGAACCTGCTCAACTTGCTCCAAAGTCTTGACTGTGGCTGAAGACCCCGGAGACTCGCTGTTGAGGAAAAAGAGTTGTTGAGAGATGCCCTCCCTAAGGTTAGAGCCGGATTCGGAAACTAATCGGTCGGATTCTGAAACTAGGGTTCTGAAACTGGGGTTCTGAAACTAGGGTTCTGAAACTTGGATTCTGAAATTGGTATTCTGAAACTGGGGTTCTGAAACTAGGATTCTGAAACTGGGGTTCTGAAACTAGGATTCTGAAACTGGGATTCTGAAACTTGTATTCTGAAACTGGAAAGTCAGATTCTGCAACTGGTATTCTGAAACTGGAAAGTCAGATTCTGCAACTGGTATTCTGAAACTGGAAAGTCAGATTCTGCAACTTGCCTTCTGAAGCTTGCAACTGGTGATCTCCACATCATGCGATAGCGTGTGTGCCTGTGACATCACCTTCGAAGCACATCCAAACCAACGTCATTAGCCCCCCACCCAACCCCCCCACCCCCCAACCCCCCCTTGTCCCCATCGTGTGATCTCGACATCCCTCATCATTCACAAAGTTGCGGAATCCTAGTGAGGGAGTCCACAATGTTGCGGAATCCTAGTTGCGGAACGCCAGTTGCGGAATCCCAGTTGCAGAATCCTAGTTGCGGAATCCTAGTTGCGGAATCTTGACAGTTGCGGAATCCTAGTTTCGGAATCCTAGTTGCGGAATCCTAGTTGCAGAACTCTAGTTGCGGAATCCTAGTTGCGGAATCCTAGTTTCGGAATCCCAGTTGCGGAATCCCAGTTGCGAAATCCGACCAAACAGTTGCGGAATCCTAGTTGCGGAATCCTGCGCAGTTGCGGAACTCGACTTTATCCCCCTCCCTAAACCCTCAGATTCTCCCCAGGTAGCCCGATGTCAAATATCGGCAAAACAATTCAAAACAAAACATACATACCCTCATCATCCCTCAACCCCACCATCCCACTCTTTACCCTTACGTCTTCCGGGTCCTCCCGAAGTCTTCGCGCAGTTGGACTTGTCTTTGCCTGAAGAGGGCCATTGGGAAACTGTGAAACGGTGAGTTCAAGCAAATCTTCTTCAACAAAACTCTCTAAGATCTAAGGGAGTTGGGGTTCGAGAGTTTTCAATCTCTTTGAGCTATGTTGCTAGTGCATTGTGGTGTCCCTTCCTAGACACGGCACGGAGAGTGGATCTGGAAGAATTGTCACAGTCGATCTCGCTTTGCTTCCTCACACGCCAACTGGGCAGACCGGTGAAGCCTCAAAGAGAGGCACGTAGTGCAAGGTGATCTGGCTAATGTAGGAAAGGATGCACTCCTGATGCAAATCTTATCAAATCTTTATCAATGTCGTCGACCCTTGGGCTTGTCGACTAAGAAAGAACAGCAGTACATGGACTGAAATGGACGAGAAGAGCTCCAATCAGGGTGGCTTTGATTCAAAAATGCCCCACTTGGCCCTACTTTCAGCAATGCGGAAATGGGCAACTGTGAAATATTGGCATCTGTGTCCTTGCTGCTGTAGCGAGGATCTTGGACCTGCTGTTCAACACCAATCCTGAGGATCAGGATAGGTGACCACATCTCACTGAGGAAATGGACACACACGTCACGACGTATCTCCGTATCGACGCAAATAACGGCAAGGCCATGCGTACCGCAGGTCGACTTCCGCTCGATACGACCTGTCTGGGACTGGGAGAGATGCCACCCCGGCCTAAAATTGATCCCCCCAAACAATCTAGGCAGAAATGCCGTGGTTTTGGGGTGGGAGAACAACACCAAGCAAGTCAGGTGCCAATTCCAACCAACTCGGGGATTCCTAGTCTGACTTGTCTTCCAGAAAAACAAAAAGGCAAACGCTTGAACTGCCTCCAGCAGTCTCGACAAGTTCAACGAGGATGTCAATTTGGAGATTCGATGCCTAAGAGCATCGGTTTCCTGAAACACTTCTCCCTCCCAACGCTCCTAGGTTGGAGGCCATCACTCTTCCTGAAAAAGAACTATAAGAAGCTGCTCTTCGGTACCATTCCGGTGGCCCAGATTCGCCAATTCTGCCCAAGGAGCTGCACACAGGGATATCCAAAGAAGTCCGGTTCTCCAAACCTGCCGGTGCAGCTTCCCATCACCCAGGTGCCTAGTGCCTGTGATGGATCGAGTGCCTGGATATAAGTCTGTCATGGTCTGTCTTGTGCAGCTTCGCCCTTAGTGATTGATAGACCTGAAAAGCAACAAACATAGACTTGCAGGTCTGATCTTCAACCAGGTATGAACAGTATAAGAAAAAACAAAAACGCCAATCTATCCAAGATTCACATCATCCTTTGCTAAACAAGTCAGCACCCCACCTGGGGGGTCTTTTCATGTTTCCCGAATGGTGAGCTCTTCTTGATATGAAACATCCAGTAGCAATCCTCAAAAGGAAGCGTCGTGGGCACCCCATGCTTTCCATAGACCAAGACAAGACTCCATCCGTCACTCTCATGACATGGACGTTTGGATTTGGATACTTTGGACCAAACACAAAAAAGACTAAAAAGATCTAAAAAGAGCCGCATGCAGCATCGAGCTGCAATCCATCCACCCGCGATCCATCCGCGCCTATTCTTCACCCAAACAACCTCCATCTTGCTTTCTAAAATGTCCCAGGCCTCACAGAGATCACCTCAGGAGAGCAGCCGGCCACCGTCCGGCGCGGAGCAGCTGCCGTCGACGGCGTACCGGCACATGACGCATCTGGAAGCCTGACGGGTCTCAGCTGTGCACTTGACATGTCGCTTGATGGCAAATGGACGAATTGGCAAACCCGAGCCGAGTCCTGAGTTCTTCAACCCCAGATCCCCGAAAAGATCAAGCTCTTAATGGGAAGATGACCAAGCCCTGGTCTTTAACAAGCCTCAAAATCGGAACACTCTGCAACTAGAGGTTGCGACGTCCAGAGCTGGGAGACAAAGGATTGCAAGCCAGAGGCAGACACAGCAGCCCAGAGCTGGGAGACAAGTGTAAAGGATTGCAAGGCTGAGGCAGACACGGCAGCCCAGAGCTGGGAGACAAATGTGAAGGATTGTAAGGCAAAGGGGGACACAGCAGCTGAGAGCTGGGCGACAAATGTCAAAGACAGCAGTCCGGAGCTGGGAGACAAAGAAGGGAGAGACAAGCGGACACAGTGACCAACAAGAAGACAGACAAGACCGGAGACAAAGGGAGACAGAAGGGAGACAAGGCGGACACAATGACCAACAAGAAGGGAGACAAAGGGTGACAAGCCGGACGGAAGGCGGACACGCGACACTCGACACTCTTAGAAAGCATTGAGAACCCCTAACAGTAACCTGTTCGGGGAATAAGTAAAGAAATCACATGGGAGACAAATGAATAGAAATGCTGCATGGCCAGCGGAAAAGGGCGGACACCAGTGCAGGAGACAAAAGTAAAGAAGTCACATGGGAGATAAGTGAATAGAAATGCTGCATGGCCAGCGGAAAGGGCGGACACCAGCAGTGCAGGCACCGAACCTGGGAGACAAAAGGAAAGAAATCACCTGGGAGACAAATGAATAGAAATGCTGCATGGCCAGCGGAAAAGGGCGGACATCAGCAGTGACAGAAAGGGCGGACACATCTTAAGAAAGAATTGAGAACCCCTAACAGTAAACTGTTTGGTGAAAAATGAAAAATGAAAAAAAGAAAACACGAACCGTGCGTTGCCCCCGGTCCTTTCTCCGATCTCTCCTGCCGAACCCCCATCGGTCAAGTGGCTCAAGGAATCGAAATGGACATGCACTTCAGAGGCCAAGAGGTCGTGGGCCGCCGTATCCTGCGGACGAAGCCGGAGGGAGGGAGGGAGGGAGGGAGCACCGTCCGACTCGTCGGGCGGAAGTTGAAACAGTGGATGTTGGGTGGGTGGGCGGTGCGACCGGAAAGAAGGTGTAAGGAACTATTGTAGGGCCTGTAGGGGAGTTTTTTTGTGGAGCAACATTGGACCTACCCAAATGTGGATGGAAATAGCGTTGCTTTGAGCTCATGTGGCCAGAACCTGTGGTGCGGATTGTTTGACTGGCACCCCCCTCAAAATCTTCATTCCGGGTCACGCACTCAAATGACCTTATGATTGGCAGATCACAGATCATCCTTGACGCACAAACTGTTTTCTGGCCAAACCGCATCAAACGGCCAACTCCTTCTTTTCTTTGGTCACAAACGATGCCCGTGCCTGCTGTTCGTAAACGCGCTGGGCCAACAGCAAATCCTCGGACAGCTTTTCCCTCTTCTTGACACCTGGGCTCCAACCCTCTGAGCCGGAGCCCTGATGCACTGTTGGAATTTTTCTTTTTGTTCCCAATCAAACGTCTGGACTGCAGACATAGGTCTGGACGCCATTCGACCCGTTTGCCGTCCTTTTCGACATGTTCATGCTTGGGCTTTCAGAGGTGGCGGGACATGTTCATGATGGGCCCGCCTGGGTCAGGACTGATCCTCACTTTGACTGAGGAGGGTTCATCCATGAAAAAAGAACAAAAAAACTGAGTGGCGGGCGCATGTTTCATTCTTATTGGTTATGTTTTCTCACACTGCTTATATATGTTTTCGCACACTTTTGGCAACAGGCTATTCAGAGGAGAGGCCGGTCAGTACACGGAACTTCTTGTCTTGGATTGCATGCCATAGGACCACAGTGGGTGTGGAACTTTGTTGATGGTGTGAGTGTGGGATACTTCTGGCCAGCAGAACAACAACCTATGCCTCTGCAGTTCCTCATTGACAGAATGAGGGTTTGATGATGTTGTTTCATGTTGTTTCACACAAAGTACGTACTCATCTACAACATACAGTACAGGTTATGCTGTTCCCTCCAATCATCTTTTTGAGGATCAGAAACTCCACGCAGTTTTGTCTTTGCCCGACCTCTCGTGACGTGGCTTTGAGATATTGAGCCTCAGACCTGGATCGAAGAAGCTTCCCTTGGGCAGAAGCGTGGTGCTTCCCTTGAAAGTCCGGCAACCATGCGTGCGGGCAACCTGGCGCACGGAAGCTGTGTTTCGTGGCGTACGGTGGCGCTTTGCAGGGCTTGAAGGAAGATTGGGTGAAACGCAAATAGCCACGGAAGGCCAAACCACATGTTCTTTTCCTGGTGCTTGCAAGCAGGAGACGACATCTCAAGCCATGTCTTCGCATGTTGAGAACAACAGGTTTATTTATCATTATCATGGTTCATCTAAGCACAGTGGGTTCCGGATTCTGTGGTTTTCTCGGTTTCAGAAGGGGAAGCTCAATCCTGATGATTAAAGAAAAAACGAGAAATAGCTTGCGCAAGTCACCTGATAGCACTAGCCGACCACCTGGCCTGGTCGCCCCAAACGCCTTTGGCCCAGCTGCTGCCGGGCGCCAAGGCTTCCTATGGTGACCAAAAAAAGCACAGGGCAACACCTTGGATGAGAGGAATTTCACCAAGATGTGTCTGTACAGTAGCTTTATGGTTGGAATATTGAATATGTCATGGTATCAGGTTGTAGTTGCTATATCTGAAGTTCCACGGGTCAAAGACATGCAAACAGCTTCAGTACAGCTCAAGTAGTGCATGTGCTCGCGTGGATCAGTGGATCATGATGGATCAGGTATTTTGTCGATACAAGTGTTGTGGACGCATTCAACTCTTCGAGGGGTAATTCGCAGCATTCCACTACTTTATCATCCCCTCAGCAAAGAAAGCATGCTAGCTGGTCCACAAGCAAGCAACAGCCCATCTCCAGTCCTTCAACTGCTTGTGTGCAGCCCCTGCTAGAGCTAGGAGTCCAGAGAGTTCCTTCACCTGGATGCTTTGTTGGGAGGACACACCGACCCAACACCTGCGGATTTTCGCCGCTCCGATGGGCGCTTTCGTCGGGCGCTCCGCGCGGATGTTCGACCCCTTGAAACGGTCCGCATGGTTCAGTGGCCAAGGACCAACATCCTGTCGAAAGTGGCGAAAGGATAACAGATCCTCGACTGGAGGGATCGTCAGGCTTGTGGGCGGGGAACCCCTGTCATCTCAGTGGGGGGGCACCTTTGGTCTGCAAGCACATTCAGTTTGCATGCCCCCCAAAAAGGTCTTCAGGCTCAAAAGTCACAAGCTGTCCCATCTCCCAAAGTAATATCAACACCTCCTAGGATTTGGTTCCCATGATTGCTCCACCACACTCGTCTATGAAGGAACATGTTCTCCCTACCGGGTCACTAGAGTGGTCCCCCGGCTCCACTTCCCCAGGCCGTGGGCCGAGTGGCTCCATGCCACGGAGGATCGCGTCGGGTCTCTGGCAGGTGAGGCACGAGCTGACCCCCTGGGCCCGACGGATCAGGGGTCGATGGCGGATTCACAGGATTTGAGAAAATCAGTTCGGGGAACTTTGAACTGATGAGAATCCATCGAGCAACAGCAACCTGTGAGTCCGTGCGATGTTTCGGCCGACGGATCAGGCCAAGGAAAAGCCGATAGACGACGTGTCAGGAGTCGGAAGAGATGCAACTACTAGCTGGCCTTCTCTGCCCTTGTTGATATGAGAAATTTAGGCCCAAGTAGGCAATGGAGCTCCACCCTTCACCCACCATTCACCCTCCAAACTGCTCACGCTGCAGTGAGCCCAAGCGGGTGGCCGGCTTGTTGGCCAGGCCAAGCGGGTGGCCTCCAACTAAGGGTCCGAACCACAAAGGCATTTGCTTGGCCTGACGTGAAGGTCACGACTGTTCGCGGTCTGAGACCGCCATGTTCACCAGACTCACCCATCTAAACCCAGCTAAACCGCTGGCAGAAGGATACCGTAAAAATACTCACTGACTGGTAAAATGACACTTATATATATATATGATATATGTATATATAATATATATACAGTATTTAGTATTTGTTTAGACATGTGGACTAAACCTACCACTTCGTCCACTTCGTCCACTTCGTCCTCACGCCTGGCGACCAGCCCTGCCATGCCAGGGGAGTCCAACAAGCCCCTGGCAGTGCGAACTCCCGGATCCCATGGAATCGAGCAGGCAGTGCCGGCAGTGCTTACTGCAAGATCTGGAAGGAATGGAATGTCAATTGGAGGGTTCATTAAGGTTCATTATGGCCGAGCACCAGTAGGAACTAAACATAGACCCCTGCTCTTAGGAAGTCCAACGTCTTCACCCTGAAGCGGGCAGGCCATCCATCCAGAATTCATGTTCGCTCCAACGAACACACGACGAACGAAGTGGATGGACCATGTGAGAGCAGAGCCTTTTGCTGAATACCACGACGAGATCTTGTCCACTTCTTTTCTACTTTTCGTCAAAGTGTAGGTCACCCATCCTTGTGTATTCAATAAAGTCTATCAAAGCAAGTAAAAAAGAGACTTCAAGCATATCGGGGTCAATACCCAAAGAACCTGTGGCAAAGGCTGCTCTGAGTCCACGGCTTGTAGACTCGGCTGCGTTTCAGAGCGGCCTGTGCGCAACTTGGATAAGGCTTCTTGCTGATCTGATCCGGGCTTCATGTGTAGAATTGATGAAGCGACTCATCTGAGATCTCCACTTCTAAAACATGTTTTTCTCAAGCACTTTTACACGCTCGCCGTTGTTCCCTATCCAAGTCAGAAATTGTTTCCCCCAGCATTCTGTGTCCCGAACCCCTATCAACACCCCTCTCAAAAAAAAAGAACTAGAAAATCATTCTTCCAAAATTAAAAATACTCCCTTGTGGTCATCATGCACAGTGATTGGTTCAGCTGTCCAGTATCACACACTTCCCTGATCAGTTAAAACCTCCCTCAGCTTCAACCCTCCTCTCAGTCCCATGATGTCTCACTTCTTTAACCACAACCATCGACCCAGCAACCACTATACTGTCTCGGCTGGTTGTGACATCCCCCAAACTTGGCTACTCCCACGTCGCCACGTCTCCGCACGTCTCCGCTGCCTCCATGACGGTGTCCGCCCGCCGCGCGTTGATGCCGGTGGAGGGGATGGCCATCCGCAGGTTGCTCACCAGCCGCTCGGTCGAGGGCCTTCGACCGGGTTCAAAACCGGAAGAACTGCCGAGGAAGAACTGGAGATGTGACAAGTAACAAAAAAGTTAAGTGGGAAGATGTTCGATTGGCCACAAATCCAAGAGTGGTGGTCTGATACATGCTTGTGGGGCATCATGCATATAGATGAGAGTCGAGGGAGCAACTCTTTTCAGCAGCAAACAAATATCACCTGGAGATCCTCAGCCCCTTTGTTCAGTTGTCGCTAACAAACCATAACGACAATTGCACTAAGATGCCTAACTAACCAGTGAACTGTTTCCTGGTTCAAAGTTTTCCTCGAGAAAAAACTCGTGATCGAGGAAGGAAGTCAGCGAGGCAGAAATCATCAGAAAATATCAGAAATCTATCTGCGATTGGATAGGCTACACGTTCCAAAGCAAATGGTACCCTGAGGACCAGACATGACCAGACGTCCTGAATATTTCCATATGCCAAATGTGTGGATTCCTCCTCTCCTTGTTACCTCAAAGGCTGGAGCAACAGTAGCGCTGTGGCCTGCTGGAGTACCGAAAACGTACTTCCCCGTGCCCGGTTTTCGCACCTGACTTCCACTTCGAGAGTGCCTTACTCACATCGTTTCTGGCAGATGTGCGAAATAAATTTTGGGGATCTGGTCTGGGCTTGTCCGTTTGGGATCTCACCCTACATCAGTGCATTCACAGACCAGACAGGGCGCTTCTTCTTGACCGTCCAACACTCTGACTCCAATCCAGCCAAAAGTGCCATTCACATGTGAAAAGTCCAAACATTCTGAGCCAGTGGCTCACTTGAGCGCAGGCCATTCGCAACGCATGGAGCAAACTCGACCCTTCGGCCCCCTGCGACGGAAACGACGGCGTTCGGAGCACCGACGGTATTGGGCCAAATTGGTGAAGCCGAAAAAAGGAACAGCAACTAAACAACCTCTTTGTACTGCCAGTTGGAATGCCTCTCAGAGCAAAGACACTGGCGTTGTTTTGAGACTTCCACTTCATAAACGGTCAAGCTGTGTCCCTTATATAATCTTATATATATGTCATATATTATAATATATTATACAGCACACATACAATTGACCAAAAATGGGTTTCTGCTCAGCGCTTTGGCCTCCAGGGAGACCTGTAGAGCTCGTTGAAGGCCCACCGGCGACCTCGAGGAGCGCATCAGTCGGTCCAATCACGTGCGACATCACTGGGTGACGGTGTGACATGATTTCTGCGCACTTTTGCACCCCCAAAAAAAGGATTGCATTTGATCGCGTTGATGTCTTTTGCCCCTGGTGACATTGATGTTCTTGTCGAACAAAAATATACTTAAAAAAATACTGCCAGGATCTAACCTGCTTGCTAAGCAAACTACATCCAACTACCTCCGCAAGTTCTCAGAGCTCCACCTTCATGTTCACCCGTCAAAAATCCAACACCTCCACCGCACCTTCTCAAAGGAACAAGAGGACGCTACGAGTTCGTAACAAAGGGCATCGCGACTCGAGTCCGGAGCGAGGACGGACGCTACAACAGTAGGGGCTCCTGGCCTCGCGACTCGAGTCCGGAGTATCCTACTCGGCCACCGGGCACCGTCTCCGGAATCTCCACGTCGCAGATCAACTCCCGAAGGCCCTCCTGGAGAAACCGATGGAGAGACACGGCGTGGAGACGGAGGTCCCGTAGGGTGGGGTGGTCTTGGAGGTTGGGTGTGTGGTCTTGGTCCTAAAACTGATTTGGGCTTCAAATATCAGTCATGGGTGCTCCAAATAGTCCTTAAGACACCTTGGAACCACCAAGGAATTGTTTTCCTCTACAAACTCGATCAAGCTCGTGCTAGATCGAGGAGAGCATCATCAAATACGACTTTCTATTGGCTAGCCACAAGCACTCCAGCTTCAACTTAGAAGAAGATACTATATATATATATATATTATATTTCAAGCAACCCACCTGGAACGAGGACAAAACCATGGGCACTGGAGTGGGCAACGAGCATGCACATGGATTTGCATGACCCACTGCTCCGAGAGACAATTGGACCTTTTGTGCTGATTGCTATCATGTCCCGGCACCCATGCTGTAACGACATGCATGGTTTTGGCGTGTAGGCATGCCTCAAGACCTCTCGGTGGCAAACAGTGCCCTTTCCTCCGACATAGAATTTCTGAATTTGGCTTTCGTCAGTCAACAGAGGGCCACCTCTGTCTCAGTCATTGCCTTTGTTCCCTTCTACCACAACTAAACACTCTGTGCACTCCTTGTAGTGGTTGACCTTCATCATGGTTACCCGTCCTTGACATCTCTCTGTGGTTTGACCGAGCTGATTGTTTGCATGCCATTTACGCAAGCTTTGAATGCCACTGAAATATTGAGCAGAAACTCAGACTCTCTCTGTTACGCTTGATGTTTACCTGCTTCTTGGTCATGGTTACCTGCTTCCCAGTCTTTCTGTTGGGAGCTTCATGTGCAAAAAGCATGAACTACGCCATCGCTCGAACGTTGTGAGAGCAGCTCCGCTGGAAGAGAGCCCCGCGGTGGGGGTTGAGTGTCAATTATTGTCAAAGTACCCCTTCATGTTATGTTTAAGGTTCGAGCGCCCTAAAAACGCCTGACCAAAACGGAATAATGCAACAGACTTTACGAGATAAATATATATACTACTCTTCTTAGATTATGTTATCTTTTATAGTATAAGACCAACAGTTAGAACGTTCAAACATAGTCAATTAAGTTGCAGTTAGAATACCCTCAAAAAAACATGTGCAGGGTTAGAGTAGTATGCAGCTAGAATAAAGGCAGTTGGAAGCAGTTAGAATTAAACATTACAAAAAAATACTCCATTGCAGCACCACCTGTTTGAAGTTTGAACTGAATGTTGCTCGTTCCATCCAAAGACATTGTTCCATCAAATGGATCAAGAAGAAAACAACATTCTATCTGCATGTCGTATTCTAAGGGCAAGGTTTTTGCTCATCTGTCACCCCGCTCTCTGGCACTATTTATGTCATTTATGTCTGATATGTCTGATGATGTTTGGAATTAAGATGAATTAAGTAATATTCTTACCCTATACACCCATACGGAAACGCGGTCGTTCAAGCAATTGTCAATTGGGTCTTCACACAAGCAGGCCTGTGGTCACTAAAGGTTTGGTCACTTGCCACGAAGTGGTGTGATCTGGACAAAGAATCGGCAGGCTCGCCCCAATTAAGAGGGCCAAGTTTGGACCTCGACTGCACTTCCCCATCGCTCTTCAACGTCCTCTTGCTCTCTGCACATGACTTATGTTTAACAAGAACCTGAACATTCCTCTTGCCACGAAGAGGAACGAACCACATCGGAACTGATCTTCGACCACCCCCAGCTGCGACCGTTTCGTTCCGACCAAGCTGCGTGGCTTCACTTGATGCGAGGCCAGAAGGCGGTCCACAGCATTCACGACCTGGCGGTCCACCGCGGAGGTGGTCCGGATGGATCCGGGTGGTCCACTGAAAGGGATGGCACCCAGGTGCCAGAAAGACCATGTTCCTGTACAAACAGGGAGTTGTCCACTTCCATGCTTGCTGGAGGGAGGGTATATAAGTTATATAAGTATGTTCATCATCTCAAGATTTCTCGAACTTTTGACGCCCCAAGGAGGGTGGTTCGTCACCGGTGCCACTGCAATCACCCAGTCTTTGAAATCCAAATTCAATTCATCCAATGATTCTAATATCAGCCAAACATCCTGGCGCTCAGACCTCACAACTGCAAGATCCATCCATCCTATACACCTTTGAAGGCTTGGTGTGCAGAACTCAAGCGATCCCGTCCATCGTCCAATCGGCTCCCCACTCGCGTGCCGATCGTGGAGGAACTTCTAGGGATGGCCTACCGCGAGCGACACACACCGCGGGCCGTCGCGGGCCGTCGCGCCGCGGATCGAGCTGGATCGAGGAGCCCAGCTTGGATCGAGGCCGCGGCCCAGAGGGGATTGATTCCCAAAGACCCACCGAGCTGTTGAGGAGATGGGGTTCTTCCCTGATCACTTTGGGGCGAGTCTTTGAGCAGGAATATTCTGGATCCTTCTGCCGTTCACCGATCATGATCGTGGTAGTAGTGGTCGTCGTCGCAGTAGTAAAGGTAGTAGTATTCAACACGTAGGAACAGATCTAGCATGTTCTAGCAGTAGGAGTACCATTAAGAAACACCTTTGAAAAAGACTGGGAGAACACCTTTTTGGCTGCCTGCCTTCCTACCCATTGCCAAATGTTCATGTTTGCTTTTCTCATCTTGCTTGATATGTAATTATCCCTGTCTAGGCCTGCAATGGAACCCCCCTCATTCCATTTGCCATCTAATCAAAAGTCTGCAGCCGACAAACCAAACAGCGAAAGGAAATGGTTATATACACGTTACAAGAAACTGCCCCTAAGTCCTTTGGTGATGAGCCAACGTCATGAAACCCCTCCATCTTCCAGCCTTTTGTATGCTCGCCAGTGTCGCCTCACAGGCAGGACCGAAGATGGGGGTGATCTAGGGGTGATCGATGCAATCTGTGCTGGAACAATTGCCAACTGAATATGGAGGCACACAATCATATCAGGAATTATTGGAATTATTCACTGCAAGGGTGTTCGTCTGGCTCGTCAAGTTGCACTTGCTCCTGCCTGTGCAAACATGTGCATGTGTATGTGTGTGTGTGTGTGTTACATATGGAATGGAGCCATCCTCTGCTGACGTGCTTCCTAAACCTCCTGATGTTTGTTCCTCCGGTTGACTTTTTCACTCACCAGCTTGCCAGGTCTTGCCTCATCCAGCATGGGCCGTGGCCGGCCACCTGTTTGATCATGATCTGCACCCCGTATAGGTCCCCCCGTCTGGGACGCTGTTGCTGCCAAAGGTCGAACATTCACAACTCCCAAAGGTTACTTTGCCTGCAACAGAACTTACAGATCTTGCAGATTCGACTGTATAGCCGAACTAGGTCCAGTCCAGCTGACACTCCCCACTACCTCGCCAAAAAGAAACTCACTGCCAAGCTGATGATGGAACACCTACTTGAAACTTCCAGGTCCCCTCAGCGGTGCTTGAACCCGTCTGCACCTTCGCCGGCGTGTCGCGCTCGCTTGAGATGTGCACGGAGTCGGAGACGTGTCGGCAAAAGCTCCTGACGGAGAGAGTCGAATGGTCGAAGAGAGTCGAATGGTCGAAAAGGGTCTCCAAGATGGTCCGTGCTGGTCGATGGATCAAAGAATTGCACCAGTCCTGGGAGATCCTGGGAGGCAGTGTGCGAATTCATGGGGCAGTATCCCTTGGTGTATCGAGGTGCAGGATTCTCTCCATGAGCCATGTATTGCCATACGTTGCTGTATTGCCAAAGGCAGGGCGTCTTCTTGGTGAGGATCGTCAAGTCAGTGCTTCCCGCAATCCTTGCAAACCCCGGGCAAGCATGAAGAGCCAACACATTGCACAGAAGCGCTCATTGCTTCCGAGAACTCTGTGACGTCGCTTCTTTCTCGTGAGTTTCAAAGGATCCACGGTGGATAATTACTTGTGATTGAGTGCCAAATCGCCAAAGGTGCCCCCCTAATTCCCATCATTCTGGCCATTCTGGCTGAATCCGTACCACTCTGACCTGCCCGAATTCGGCCCGAACATCCCAAATCCCCCGGGTCGGTCCCGCATGAGGCTGCCATGCCTCACAAGCATCTCACGAGCCTCCTCCATGGCCTCGCGGATCCGGATCCATCAAGACCAGAGGGGGGTGCAGACCGCGGTGGGCGGAGGACGTTATGGGGACCAGGCCCGTAACGGTCGGCCGGTCTCTAATTCACCTTGCAGGCAGGAGCTGTTTGGTGCTGAGGCACCACTGGTGTGGACCTCTGGTCGAATAGAATTGGGAATCAGTTAGACGTTTGTTTGGGCCCCAAAGACACTGGCAGGATTGTCCTCTTTGTGTGCACCGAGATCCCAATTTCGAGGGGCTTGCATCAGGTACTTCATCCGCTCCCCCGCACGAAATGGGACTTGGTGGAACCTCCAAGCAATCCCAATCTCTTCACCTACTCCTCCCAATTCTGCAAGAAGTACTGTACCAATGGGTATTTCCCGGTCACCCCAGATCTATCCAAGTTGACCAGAGGCTTGTCTAGTGGCACAGCCCAGTGGATCAAACCAGCCCCTGTTTCCACTACCTGACGGGGGGACCCTGGTGTGGCAGTGGGTCAAAACGGGGGGACTCCTGGTTGATCCCGGGTCAAAGGAACAGATTCCTCCATGGTCCCGGATGTCTACCATGGTCACAACGTGGAGGAGGTATGAGGAGGTGTCAAAACTCACCACTGTGCGCCTTTTTCTGCCACCGGATGATCTGTCACCAGTTCTGCCACCTCTGAAGAACAGGTGAAAAAAGCAGAAAGCTACCAGCCCTTGACAGGGCAAAAATGGCCCTCGTGGGATCGGATCTCAGAAGGTCCGTGTCACATCATCCCTGGGCTTGGCTGCAATCTTCTTCACCTACAAGGAAACTGCAGCACATCCTGGCAAAGCTGATCCAAAACCCATGGTGTTTGCCCGTCTCTGAGCAAGTCTGGACTGAGTGCCCTTCCAAAAGACGAACTTCCGGGCTTGCCAGTCTCTCTCCCCATCAAGCCAAAAGCAACAGCTCGGATCAAACTTGGAGGATCTGATGGCAACGGCTCCGCGTGCGCCGCGGAACCTCACACAGAGCTGTCCGGACCATCAATGCCACCGCAAAGACTCCACCCCATGCACCGGAAGTCGCTTCTGTATGTTGCAAATCAGCAAGCAGCCGGACTGAGAACTTCCACAAAAACCCGAACCTGCGAGAAAACTGGAGCATGGTAGGCTACTCTCCTTCTCGGATGAGGCTGCACCAAACATCCTCGAGCTGATTCCACTGTCACCACTGGCCCACTGGCATGTATACACCTACCTGCTGTCTGGCTGCTCAGGTGCTGAGGTCTGCAATCTACGACTCACTCCCGCCAAATGCAAGCTCCCCAGAATCACCAGCACTGTCCTCAGCACCAACATATGTGATCACACATCTAGGATATCTAGAAGAATAAAGAAGCTTTGTCCAGGCAAGCTCCAATTCCGGCACACAGTGAACATCCTGTCACTAACGCGGACCGAACCCTCACAGGACCATCCCCTCTTTTCGCCATGCCTCCCTTGACCACCACATGCTTCACGGATTCTCTGGGCAAGGTGTTCATCGCGCTCCTTTAGGATCGCGCGCAGCAAGACCCGCCACAGCGCCAGCATTGGAAGCCTCAGATGGCTTTCACGCAGCATGCACACGAGAGAGACAGAGAGAGAGAGGTGGGGTGACTTGTGCCGTGTTTCTTTGTGAAGTTGTGATGCTCCCGGACTCATGGTCACTTGTTCACTTGCTGCTTCTAATTCACGGTGTGTGATGATCTTCTCAGGTCTGGGTAGAATGAAAGGGCTGAGCAACGAGCCAAAAAATCATGAGAACATCATCCGATGATTTCACTGAGCACTATTTGAATAGGTGGTGAAAGTGTCGACACTATTCGAACGGAGTGCAAGCACTATGTGGTGGTTTTTCCGAACACAACGAGCAAGCAAAATCCCATGAGCAATCATGAGCATAGTAACTATATGTGCATATGAAACTGGCAGGCTTTGAGCTTTCACCAGCTTTGACTGGCAGGCTTTACTTGCAACAAAGGATCACTACCACAACTGCAAGGTAGGACATCGCAGCGTCGAGAGGAGAGCTGTCAACTGTCTTTGCCCCCGGTGCTTGTCCAACATCCGTTTGGGTCAGAAGGATCCCAGGAACAGTGAGGAAGATGAGCAACAGCCCAGCTGTGTTGGAAAAGGGGGCTTCCATCGCAAGGACCAGGATGTTTCTCAGTAGGGAAATTGGGCTCATCGCAAGCAGCAAGAGTCCAGACACAAAGGCATAAACGCCATCCGTGACGGTCTCCTCTTGACGGACAGTGGGCAGAAATTCGGTCAGATCGTTCCAGATTCTCCTCCAGCCACTCAAGGGCTCTTGGATGTCATTCACTGTCTCATTCACGACTTCCTGCCGGTGCAGCCCAACCAAGCACAATGGGGGACCTCGAGCAAGACCCTGGCAAAAAGGAACACTGACTAAAACCCATTTGCTGGCGATGTGATATGTTGGGTCTGTGGTGATATGATAAGTTGAGTCTTCCGCCGAGTCTTCCGCAACAAAAACGAAGCCACGTCCTGAAAGATGGTGTCCAAGTCTTCGTCAGACAAGTCTGCAAACACCAGTGGTATACCAGAAACGTTTGCAATCCTCAGTTTCACTTCGTGTCAACAAACGCAAGGTCCGCCTGGTGGTCCCCTGTGGATGTTCGCTCAACTTCCAAGAAACACACGACTACAAATGTTGCAGGAAGTTATTCGACTTCATTCGATGTGTTCATTTTGCAAGTGTTTGAGTGTTGAATCATTGATTGCCTCTCAGGCGGGTCGGGCTTAAATGCCTGGAATGCGATTGTTTGATCCAAGGTTCTCCGACACCGCCTGCATTTCGTTGTCGAAGATGAGCCTTGTCGCAGCCATGCGACACGCGAGTACACCTCATGTGACTTGGGTTTCGGTGCTTGCCACCTCGACGGTCAATGTGCCGCCAGTGATGTTCGTTCTTCAACTGCTGACAAAAAATAGAAGACAAAAATGATCAAAAATTGATACTAATGACAGGGCTCCCAGTATTTGCAGCAGCAACAACAACAGAACTCTAAAGGCTTTTTTCCCAGCAAATATCATCTTTGGAGAGTTAAGTAGCGTAAGTAGTGCACGACCACCAAGGGTTGATGTTCGAAAGCAACACAAAGGGAGAGCGATTGAAGATAGAAACTCATGAGTGCACCTCACTTTAAAAAGAAAGAAACACTACCTCCCCAACCTTCGAAACCTCCTGGGTTGCATGACCCAATTTGATCGCCTCATTGGCCCATCGCCATGCAGCTGCTGCCTTAGAAAATTGACCAGTCACAGCACAGAGCTTGAATCTTCGGTGTCAAATGAGTTCATGCTTTCAGAATTTCATAAAGTTTCACTCAAAAGCGAGGTTGCCTTGTAGTGGCTGACCTTACCCCGCACAGCAAACACTGAACTTGCTACCCACCTCAGAAATCAAGGTGCAGCCTGACCTCACCAAAGCCCAGCGGCATGCGCTCCCAGCGCTTGTCGAACATCTCCAGCACCACTGCTTCCACTGGACGCGCAGGTGCAGCGAGTGCATCGAGGAGAAGCTGCCGTGCAGTGAAGCTGGAGAAGGGGTTGAAGTGCATACCTCAGGAGGCTCAGTGAATACAGTACTTCGGACTCACCAGTTCGAAGTACTCAAAAAGAATATATGTGCCATAGTAAATCATCTACATGGAGGTCTCGCTCTGGGATTCCCTGACAACCCATGATTGCCCAGACCCAACCCCTATGATAATGCAGGCCCCAATCGGCGTGTCGCCACAAGTACGCAAGAAGCTGTGTTGATAACACACCAGCGCTTCACAAGTCTTTTGGGTCTGCTATCTCTTGCATGTTCCACGGCAAGAAGATTACAAAGTGATACTAAAACATGAGTTTGACTATTGGAAAGTGGTGTTCGTTGATTTCCATACTGGTGCTGCTAACAAGAGTGGAAAAATGATTTCTACAGCTACGAGGTCTCAAGATGCGTCAGCAAAAGAGCTTCATGACACGGTGCCATGATCTCCGGAAAATACCGCGAGGAATTTGGGAGTCAAAACCACACCCCGCAGATATCCACCAATGCACCCGGTTCATCCTTCCAAGCAGCATCCCAGCAAGCACACCTTGGAGCCGCTGGCATCCCTCACCACCTGTCGTAGGAAGTCAGAAGCCTTCTGACTGAGCTGGAACGCCAAAAACGAAGGCACAAAGCTATATCAGAACATCTCCTAACCTCTGTGGAACACAATGTTCAAAGGTTTTGGCCCTTATGTATATATATATATATATCCTTGAAAGAGCACGTCCGAGTAAACTGGGCTGACAGGACCTACAAAAGAGTTGGCCAGCTTTCTGGCCAGTTGATCCTCCACCTTGCACTGGCTCATCGTGAGATCCTTCAGGAAGGTGTGAGGCCATACCAAGCATAGCATCCACCTTGGGAGGGGTGGCTTAGTGAAATACAATTGGTAAAATATGATTCCCCTGCATAATTTGGATAGTTTATGGCTGTACAATCGTCCTGAAGTTGTCACAAAAAGACATGATAATACTCGAAAGACTGTTTGCTGAGAGACTGCAAAACTGAGACTCACTGGCTTTTCCGCTTCCCTCCATGGCGGTCTCTGAAGCTCAAGGATATTCACGGATTCTTCTGAAACACCTGCTTGAAGAACATGTTTCAAGAATAAAATGGGGCAAAGGAAGGGTGGAAATACAGACGTACAACTCTGCCAATATGTTTCAAGGTGCAGCAGGACAACAGCGGCCACTGACTTTGGTCGCTGTCTTCTCCCCATGTCAACGCGGACACGCCGGGCCGGCTCGACCATTCTAGCGGCAGAGCCACGCGTAGCGTATGGGAGTGATGGATGGGGGGTGGCAGGAATTGCCTATTGCAGTGCCCAAGAACAAGCAAAGGCAATAGAAATATGGGCGTAGTGTGCTCCTCACGAAAAGAATAGGATGTCAATGAGTATGCTACTGCTACTCAAATGCTCAAAATTAGTTATATATTATATTGGTCTTGGACTCTTCTCAAACTGGTACAAGTTCCCCTCCAACCGATCAGTGTTCTCACCTTTGCAGGGGTCCTGCCGCAAGAGAATTTGAAGCATCGGGTGTTTCTTTGTGTGTTGTGTGCTGGTACAGCCCAACCACACAAAAAAAACGAAGACAAGCAACTCGACACCATGTAGTTCTCCAGCAGTTGCCAAATTCCAAAAATTCACCCCACATCAGCCAACACAGGCCATGTGGCACTCAAAAAGGAAGACCCCTGTGGGCCACCTGGTTTTGCTCGGTTCCTTCGTTCTTTTTTCCGGGTCACTGGGGGGGCCCCACACCCTCTCCACCATGACGTGACGGCAGCGTCTCCCCCGACGCTCCTGGGTCCCAGCCTTAAGATCCGGCTTGGGAGGATCGTGGAATTTCTGCAACTCCTCCGCTTCGATCTCGATTTTTCTCCAAATTCCCACGGGAGAGAGAGAGAGAGAGACTTTGGCTGTCCAAACGATGTGCGAATGGTAGTGTAGCGGTGACAGGGTGAGAGGTGAATGTCTTCAATTAGCTTGCAAATGGATGTGTGTCCTCAAAATAGAACATGGTGGGTTTGCTTTGGCCAATGTTTATCTGCTCGTCTTGAGACCAAGACCCCAGAAGCAGAAGTTGGGCACATCCCACACAGCAAAAACTCCATGTTCCTGGCCCAAACAGTGTTGTCCTAACATGAATCCCTACCAAGCATGCTCATCTACTGCCATCCACATCTACTACTGTCATCTGCTATGTCAAAGCAGCACTACAAAACCCTCCTGGAAACACACGGGGCATCTCCGCATCTCCTCGCCTCGAATTCTTCAAAGGAGATGTTGCCCTGTTCGGGAGAAAATCACCGTAGTGCGGGCATCCCAGATGTGGTTGGAAGATGTTGGAAGTAGGTTCACCCAACCCACTGGCAAAGCGTTGTGGAAAACCCATAAAAAAAAAAAAAAAGAAGCAGCGCAACAAATTTGGTCGTATGATGTACAGCACATCGTGTGCTTAGTTGGAGAACTGCATGATTGAGTTTGGGCTCAAATTGATTGAGTTCAAATTCAAAAAATGTCAACTGTCAGCTTGATCTCCAAGGCAAAAACTGACGCACGCGCTTCAGTTTCAATCTTCATCTTCCTTCAATTCAAAGCTTGGCCAAATGAAGCAGGAACTATCTCCTCTCCTCATGCCGACACCTTGATTGGCTAAGCTAATCAGGCTCGCATCCGAGTCTAGGCCACGCCTCGTCATCCTTGTCCAGGAAGCGGAAGATCGGCAAGATGGGCCCAAAATATGAGCATGATCGAGCTACGCTGCTCCACTCCTCTTCCTGAGCTCGGACCAGCCCAGTTGGGCTTCCTTCCGGCTGCCACTCGTTGGGTGAGCTACTGTTGATGGACAAAATCCTGCGCCACTTTGCGCACAGTTTTCTTGCTGCCCTCGGATTCTCCCTCGTTAACATTGGGGCCACCACAGTGCGAAAAGTAAAACAAGTTGAAGGTCCAAAATCCTGCACCACCTCCTCTCGCGCCAACATTGAATCCGGGGGCGCAGGGGTTGCTATGCGACCCTTCCAGGGTAAAGAGGTGAGGTGGTGCAGGATTTCGTCCATCAACAGTATGTCAATAATCTGAGTTTGAGTGATTTCTAAGCAGTTCAGAATTCTTGGCCCAAAGCACATCCATGACACCCACCAGGAATCTGTCTCTTCAACACACGCGGCACGCCGAGCTTGTCTCCGTCGACCTCTTCAGCTTGGTCTTTGTTCTCCAAAACACACCAGCACCTTTCGGTGAAAGGGTGAAAAACAGAACCCAGGACCCAGGAGGTGCCAGGATATACCAGCTCCTGGAGTCCTCTCACATCCCACCCAGCGCTGCACACCTTCACCCTATCAATCAAAAAGGCTTGCAAAAGTGTATCAAGAAATTGAACCCAGCTGCTTTGTATCATATTGGACTGCAAGCTTTTCCATGCTTCAACGCAGCTGTGGAACCCAAATTCTTTACAACCTGCTTCCTGGGGCGATGACTGAGATGTAGTTGTCCCCATTGATGTCGAAGACCGCCCAAGCGGCCTCACATGGGGGAAACATGGGGCACGTCGGTAGGTTCCTTCCGCAAAGCATGGAATGTCCGGACTCTATATATATATATATATATATACTTCCATCAAGTCCAAAACACCAAAAACAAAGACCCAAAAATGTTCATCCTCCAAGCTGGCTGGTAGGTAGGATCTGGGGAGGGCCTCTCTGTGTTTGATCATTCTGTTCGAGACCATTGAATGAAACAAAACACCAGCTACAGCCAGCGCTACACTTGCATCTGCAACTCTGAGGCCCAAACATTCAAGTCATTCCCAAAGGAACGCTGGCAGAAATGGACGAATTCCTGCGACAGCAGGGGCAGCAGGGAGGAAGACGTCAAAGCGACCGTCAACATGAAGAGATCACTCAATCACATCTGACCCCTCAGCTCTTTGTTGTCTTTCGATCAATCGTGTGCAGAAGGATCAGAAGGACCCAAGCTGTTTAGAGTAATTTACCTGTGGCCCGTGGCTTAGCACAAAAGCGCAAATGCGGGGACATGGGAACCGGGCGCGCCGCGCGCTCACGCGCCAACGCCAGCAAGTTTGGGAGGGGCAGCGTCCTTGATCGAATACACCATCTCTTTGTGCAGAAGCTCCAACATGCCTTGGCCGAACTTCTGGAGGATTCGCAAACGAGGAATGGTCTTCCTCCCTCCAGTGTGGGGCTGCAGCACAACATGCCGAAGCTCCGGTGTTTTTTACAGGGTCTCCTTACAGTGTCAAGATCAGTGGAACTGATGATTCAACAGAAGAATCCGTTTTCCTTCGGCAGTGTCGCAAGTGGCTGCTATCATATTAGAAGAGGTATGGAAAAGAAGGGTTGAATGGTTAAACTGCTTCTTGGTTCTTGGCAAACGCTACGCTTTCTTCTTGTGTTGTGTATCATTCCCTGTTAAGAAAAGGTTGAGCCGCCAGATGCAATGGATCTGCCCGTCCCTGGCAGCCGATGTTCGCAGCACACCCATCGCCATGGCCGAACGTGTAGGGGGGCCAGTGTAGGGTGTAGGGCGCCATCGCCACCGTGGCCACCCATCCAGCTCAGCCCAGTTGCCCCACTCATTGCGAGAGACTTGGCCCTCTCCACTGGGGTCCAAATAGCCTCACGCGGACGGAGGTCGACCGTGGCTTCGTTCGGTCGACCGTGGAATGGAAAAGGTGGCAGTCGACCTGCCACTTCGCCGAGGAGGACACGACGAACTCCAAAGCAATTGGCTTCGTTCAAGATGTTCTGGAGATCCCAAGAAAATGGTCTGGAGAACCTCTTGACCAGGGAGATCTTTAGGGGCCATCTCCCCATTTTCACAGGGTGCTCCCATGTGGCAAGAGGTCTCCCTCCCACTGTCGCTGAGCTGGTGAACACCCGTGGAGCTGGTGCACTGCTTTGCAGCTGCTGAAGCAGCCCCAGCTGGGCTTCCCTTGACCTTCTTGCGTCGCTTGCCGGTGTCCGACCACACCCCTGGGGTGCAAGCTTCTCCAGCGTCATTTCCAGTGCAGCGGTGGCAAGTCCAAGTGAAGGAGCTCTACAAGTAAGTTCGAAAGCGCTCTTTGTTAAGTGGGTCAAAGACAAACAAACAAACTCCCTTGGTTTGTCGGTCAAAGACTGACTCCACATGGCCAAACCCAGTTATTCCCGGCAACGCACGATCAATGGTTGCGCTTCTGCCATGTGGAAACTCCATGTTGCAGTGGCCCTTGGCCCCTTCTGGTCCTGACCCCGCACAGACGCGCATGGTTGCTTCAGCTCTCCCCAATCTATGAAGTGGATGGCATAGCCTGGAAAGATCTAAAAAGTGGATAACAGCAGTTGATTGTCAGGCGTCACCAACAAATCGGAACTCAGCCCTGCACATGTCAGCCCTTAGGTGATCCCTTCGTCGTTCGCACTAAACGCACCACACAAACGTCTCACAATCGCACCGAGCAGCGAAAGACACCTGGGCGGCGAGGGTGCGGGTGTGCGGGTGGCTTGTCGCACACAAGACTTCGGTATGGAAACCAAACGATTGTTTTTCTCAGAGCAGAGATCCTGATTTGATGTCCATACCGTCCATACCCCTCACGGATGGCTATGGATTTCTCCAGCAACTATTGGAAATGGCATCCTCTTTCGCCTGCCAGTCGGAGTTTGCCTGTTGCAGGGAACTCATCTAATAAAGTTGCCTTGGCCTCGTCCTACACAGAGTGCGAGAAATCGCTGAAGATGGAGCACCTGTCCCACCTGACTCCTCACCGCACAAGACCGATTCCTCGACCCGCCCCGATCAGGTGGCCGTGCCGGTGATCTGCTCCATCTCACGACGGCCCTGGAACTTGGTGCACTTCAAGCGCCTCGTCCGAACGCACGCGCCGTCCGAGTTCGACGGCGGCGGCGGCGTGTTCTTCGCGTTTCACCGGTCCTCACCGCGGCCCCTGGAGGCGTTGGAACCGTCGGGTTCCGGATGTCCGTCTCGACAGAGGTGAGGAGGACCGTGGAGCAAGTTCGGAGCAGGGCAGTTCGGTGGCCGAAAACAAGGCTTAAAGGCCCCCAACACCAGGTTGGCATTGTTCTTGTTCGGAGATTGAGGGTGGAATGGGTGGCAGAGTGGGCCAATGTTGCTCAGAATCTGTGTCGCGAGGCTATTGGTTTCTTGCCAGAACCTCTGCGCAAACTGTTCCAAGTCAAGTCATAATATGCTCATGAGAAAACTTGATTCATTTCAATTCTTGAGTTGCAATACTCATGTATGTCACAACACCACTGAACAAATAAAATCTATGGTGTTGAGTCGAGAAATCTAGGTATTGCAAGAACCACTTCTTCTTTCGCACCGTAGACTGGGGGGGGAACTGATACATCCCTGGAGCCAAACACTCATACATATTACACACTACACTGGATTCAAACCAACACAAGTTTCACGTTTCCAAAACGTACTGTAACACACCTCCACGACAAACACTTCAAAGCAGGAAAGCGACACACAAAAGGAACCATTTTTACATCTGCGGAGTGCAAACTAGATTGGGCTCATTTACCGATTGCATTGGGCTCATTTTAAGCACTAGAGCCCAGATGCGGCGCAGTTTTCAGCTTTTCAGCGTGGAGTAAACCTCGTCAACATCGTTCTTTTCGCTGGTCCACGAATACCTCCTCCCTTAGCAGGGCCGCCTCAAGCCCTGCTCGAAATCCCGAAGAGTCAGGATGGTCGCAGTCCTGAAGTAACTCAATGCTCAAATGGGTCCGTCATCATCCAGATTTGAGGTGCTTAGAAAGGATTTTAAAGATCTCTAAATGCACAAGACTAAGAGTTATCAACATGTTCAGTTTCGGAGAATATAAAAGCGCACTTCCCACTTGAAGCTTCCGAGGGTTGTTTGACCTGGATATGCGTTCTGCATTTGCAAGATCCCACGTGGGGGAGGAGCAGGACAGTCTTGTGATGTTTGTGACGCTGGCTGATGTTGGTCAGACAAGTGAATCCTTCTTCTGGCTCCGAACTAGGGTCTACCCTCCACTTCATCCCCACTTTGTTCCCCCCCTTTACGGGCGAAAAACATGAAAAAACGGTTGATGGGTCACCACATCAAAACGGGTTTTCGCTTCAGTGTCTGACATCGAAACGTCGTGACCCGAGCTTCGCACGGGCGTTTGATCTCATCGAAGGCCTCATGCACTCGCCGCAAGGCGTCTCGCGTCTGTCTATACAAAACAAAGCTCTGTTGTCAGGCTCTGCGCAAGTCAGTTGACAGTGTCCCATCCCAGTGAAGATGTTGATATAGTTTGACCCATGGTATCGAGGCCAGTCTTGAGAAGAAAAAATAAATGTACAAAACTTTCCGGTTGTACATAGTTAGTAGTTTTTTAAAATAGGCACAACACTTGCTTTGGAATGTCCCATATTATTTTGCGCCGCACATGAACAGCACCGCTGCATGAAGGTTCCGAAGCATCTCCTCAACTAAGACGGAGCATGAACTCTGGCCTCGAAGACATCGTCGTATTCTTCGACCAAAAACCTGGTCGACGCTTCCACACGCCTTCTTGCTTTCCAATCTGCATCCATCCGTTTGGAATCTTACCCTGGATTCGAATGTCGCAACTCACACGTATCTGAGCTAAACTTGCTGTGACAAACACATTCTAGACTCTTTCAAGACTCCGTCTGTTAACTATGCGATTGAACTGAACATTCTTGATCACACCCTGCTATGAAACAACACCAACAAAATGCATTTTGCATATGTCTCCACAACAAATCCTCCGTGCCTAAACAGTCGAGTCATCCTCACCATTCACCCCTACACTGGGCCGCAATGCATGTTCTTCGGCACCCGATGCTGTTAATAATCATCAACCGGCTCAAAACCACTTCCTTTGACGCAGAAAAAACGAGCTACCGGCTGGGCGTCCGAGCTCCAGGAACTCCATCACGTCGACCGGGACCTCATTGGTGGAAGCCCACCAAAGGACCTCGACTCATTCGCGGAGTGGTCAGCGAAACATGCACGAAACGAACGCGGAAAGTGGGTGGGCAGCCTGGCTCGTTCGTTGGGGTGTGGATGGGTGTGGTGTGTTTTGAGGTAGCAAGTTCAATCGGTGCGGATCAAAGGCGAAGAGACCATATGGCCCCATGCCCCAGAGTAGCGCAAAAGCTCGAATGGATGTGCACATGCCGTTGGTCCGCCCTTGGCTGCCGCCCCTTCTTTGGAGTTCCCAAGTTCAGCCGCTCCACCACGCGGTTGTAGCCGACTGGCGTAGAAAGGATCAGTTGTGAAGCTTCCTTCGGAGCAAAATGGCTCCCTCCATTCTCACTCGCAAATGAGAATTTTGCTGGAGATTCTTCTGGGCCTGCCACACTTCTTGCCAAGCACTTTTGACTTTTGCAGCTTTAGCATGCTTTTAGCCACTTGATGCAGCTTTCAGACCCAGAGGTGGTCTCCCTTTCGAGCAGGCATTCATCAACATCACAAGGATCCGTCAAGAAAAAATCGTACAGAAAGCACCATGCTGAGATGCGCTGAGCCTTGCTCGTGCTTCTTCATACCTTTTCAAGCCTGATGGGTCATTCTTGTTTGACAACCCCGTTTCACGTTGAACTTTGAAAACCAGTTGCTCCAATGTGAATCCACGCACTCCCAGAAGACGTATGGTGTCCTGCTGCTTCTTTTTCAGCTGCTTCACTGCATTCTGGGCTCCGGAGTCGAGCTTCACGCTGCCAGGGGGCTGCAAGGGCACATTGTCATGCCAATTTGCTTTGGGTGGAAAGAAATCTATGGATTCCCCAGTTTTGGGCTGCAGCTTGAATGCCTTGCTGCAACATACCCTGAGACCTTGGTCCCAACATAGATCCAAGATGCGGTCCCGCTGCAACTCTGACATCGGTCTTGGAGTTCTGATGTAGTAGTCGTGGTCGGCCCCTGGAATGGCAGTGCGCTTGAGTCTAGAGCCAGTTTTTTCAAAGGACGCACCAGGAATAACTTGTTGCAAGCATGTACGGAACTGTTTCAGTGCTTCATTGTCAACCTTATCTTTCGCACTTAATCTCTGGCTTCGTTTTTGAAAATGCCCAGCAGCATCTTTACTCTTGGCCTTCTCTTCAACGTAACGAGGAAGTTGATCTTTTGGAGGACATGGCTGACCTCGACATTCGTGGTAGGCCAGGTTGTTCGGATTCTTCTGATTTGCTCGATTGACCTGAGCTGGTTGATCTACTGGAGAACGTTGCTGGCCTTGACATTCTTGGTAGGCCAGGTTGTTTGGATTCTTCTGATTTGCTCGATTGTTCACAGCTGCTTGC